GTGAGAGAGTGAATGGTTGTTTGTCTTGTTTGTCTCTATGTGGCCCTGTGATTGACTTGTGACCTGTCCAGGGTGTACTCCGCCTCTTGTACAGTAATGGCTAGACATGGGCACCAGTGACCCCAGCGACCCAAAAAGGAAGAAGCGGGTAAAGATAATGGATGGATGTAACAACAAACATGTCCCATGTCTACATGTAATTGTTCCCATGCAGTTTGCTTATGTCCAAGCAGTCGCTGTGCTGAAGTTTTGATTGCTCATCAAGCACCGCCACCTTTCATGCCAGAGTTTTAAACTAAAATCATCTTATTATAAAAGGGGATGAGTTAATGGATTTTGGTCAAACCTTGTAAATGACAACATGCAAGGTCTCATGTGATTCTGTATTTAGTGCTCAGATAACAATTGGAGGATGACTCTTAACTACTACCACCACAAAATTATCTCAATTTGTTTAAAAAAAAAAAATGTCATTGTCATTTTTTTTTGTTAGCTAAGATTGATAAATCAGGGGAAACTCGAGAAATCTGAATATTGATTTGCTGATAATAAAATATATTATGATATTCTAATGTGTGTATATATTACATGTATCCTTACTGATTGGCTATGATGACTTTTTAGTTTCTGATGTTGTACAATGTAATTAATTATTAGGAATGATTGCCATTTACACATATTGTAGCTTGCAGTATAGTTACTGTTGTTTCTGAGTGTGACTCTGCCCACCACCTAACCTGCTGAGTTCTGAGTGTTTTGTGGGACTGAAATAAGTCCTGGAATTTCAGGATTTACCCAAGGAAAACTCAAGGAATTTTGTTTTCATGAAATGCTGGCTACCCTGTCTAAAGGTGAATCAGTTGTGGCTCAAAATTCAATTACTCTCTGAAAGTTTCCTCAATCCAGTTGTTTCTGAGATGTTTTGATGACTCAGACAGATTTGCTCCATTATGACAATGTTTTAAACAGACTAAACATGATTTGTTAGTACTTAGAGTACAGTATGTGTTGGAGACAATGCTCAACTGCTTGAGCAAATATTAGCAATATTAGCTACATGTCTGTAAAACTGGCTGAGGCGTAGCTTAGGCTAAGGTTGCGTAGCTGTGGGGTTGACTCCAAGAGTTATTTAGCTGTAGATGTGCTTTCACTAAATACTTTTAGAGACTGTTTTGTAAAATGCTTCCAGTGGTTCATGAAGTATTTTGCCAACACTATAAGAGACAAATAAACACAAACCCTATTACCCATTCACCATCTCCTCTCTTAACATCTGCAGGAATTTAACAATAAATGTGTATAAATCAGAACATATCCTGACACTTTGTATTGAGCACATCTGTTATGATTCAGTTGATCATTTTGCTGAGAGACGTTTGACCTTATCATTGTAAGAATCACCATAGAAACAAGCAGACAGTATAGCATCATAAACACACACTAGCTGCCAGTTTGATGTCTTTATTTATTCTTTAAGCCGCAAAATGGAAGTTGAATTTTCCCTGAATGAGGAAGTTGCTGGCAGTTTCCTGGCTTTAAAATTAACCTTTACTCTGGATTTGTTCATGGCTGCCACTTGGGTTACATAGATCTTAGTGCTTCTGAAGGTTTGTCATTTTACTTATTTTAAAGGCACAATTATTGTTTGATGAAAAGACTACTTGGCTCTCCCTGTTCATGGCTATTGCCTCGTGAAGCCTTTTGTGAGCTTCGGCTATGAGGAGTAAGTGGTTGCCTCTGCTCATCTCTCTCCCCTCTGATCCTCTGCTTGATTCATCACTCAATCCGCCGATGCAGCGAGTCTTGGCTCAGGATCAGGAGCGTTTGATGCCAAGAGCAGACGTGAGTGTTTGTGTGTGTGTGGCTGTCAGTGTGAGGGTGGCAGGTGCTGTGTAGGGGCCAGCGGAGGCGTTGTCGGCATACGTGCGAGATATAATATGCACATGTGGCTTGATGCTGCTTAATGCAGGTTTTGCCACAGCATGTTTCCGCACATGAAACAGCACGAGGGAGGAGCTGATAGAGAGTATTCTTATAAAGATGAAAGATAATGAGATGCCTCAGTCTGCAGATAGGCACTAATGGATGTTCAAGGCAGAGAATCGGAGGCTTGCTCAGGCTGAGGATATGTGGCACTGGCTGATATTATTGCTGCAGGGTAACCCTACCATGCATGACAAAGGATATTTGTGTTTGACATTCATGAATGTGATACACTTGTGTCAGTTGTTGACATAAAAATAGTCTGTTAGCTTAATTATTTTCCTCTCCTGAGACCCAATTATACAGCAACCCTAAAGGGACTTGGGTTATATATATATATATATATATATATATATATAAGTAGGCTGATTGTGAGAATCAGAAACTATTGTGTACACTGAAAACATCCTCATGTGCCTACAATATTATCTGGTGCACGCCAGATAGTTTGTGTGCTCAAAAATTCATTTTTTCTGAGAAGTTCAACCAAAAAGTCAAAGAAGTTTAAAGTTCTTGCATCCCTTCATGGAATGCACATCACCAGCCACATCCATGCTAGTATTTTATACTAAATTCATCTTATGTTAAGAAATAAAAAAGTTCTAGCCATTTTATTTCAACACTGAAACTTATGCATAAAGCTTTGTAACATCGTAATGTGCCATGTGATATGACATGATCTGCTAATTCTTTAAGTATATGTTGGGTCTGACTGTTAACAACTGTCACACCAAACATTGGTTTAGTGTCTGTGAAACTCATCAAAGTAAAGCCATTTGTGTTTTCTCTAGGTTTGATTCGCTCTGTCAGCCATCTTGAATTGGCTTGACTCCAAAAGTTGTACAAATATAACCAATTATTACTATCTGAGACTTGCATAGAGATTCATCCAATCATGAGATATTTTGCTAACAGACAACTAAGTCCATTAGGTAATGCCAAGGTTTATGCACAGATGTTGTTTAGTGTGTTTTGCAAAACATGTGTTGAAACAACCACTACAACTCCAAATGGTAGAATAAAAATTGTAAAAGTTATAGCAGTTTCTTTTTGTTTTCTTGGGTGGAAACCACCTTGAGTTGGTTTGTCTCCAAAAGTTAGAGACACTCTTTTGGTGCACATTAGATATTATTGCATGAGCACCAGAACAGTTCCTTGTGTGCACGAGAAAAGTAGTTATGCTGTCCACACATTGTGTGACGTGCAATTAAGTTGTTTTTGATCTCCACTAAAAATTCCAGGAACGATTAGAAGTGCCAATACAATAATATTTAACATACTGCAGCAAGAATATTTAAAACCAGGCTTATATATTTGAGAATAATGTAAATTATTGTTTTCCAAGCTATGATACATCCATCCATCTGTCTTCTTTACTTGCTGCAGGGGAGCTGGTGCCTATCTCCAGCAGTCATTGTGTGAGAGCTGTGATATACATCTTGTTCTTTTTTTTTCTTTGTTTCTGCTCTCAGGAGATTGTCATTTAACTGAATGGTCATCTTGGAGTTCTTGCCAGCTGACCTGCCTGGAAGGACGGAGCTTTGAGTCCACTGGTCGTCAAACGCGCTCCCGAGCTGTGATCATTCAGGCCATGGAGAATCAGGGCAGCTGCCCCCTTCAAGTCTTTGAGACTCAGCCCTGTGAAGGTATTTATGGGGATGAATCTATCAACAGTCCTACTTTACCATTTTAGAACTGCGTGCAAACTAGGATGAAACTTATTTTCATGGAAAATAGTGCGAAGAAAATGTCAATAATTAAAAGTTTTGCACTTAATAACATTTAAAGTGTCAAACTTTGAACAAAACTAACATTTACTATAGTGAACAGTATATGCAAATGCGGTTGTGTCATGAATTACTACTTCACTACACATGACATGTATTGAACAAAAAACAAACAAACAAAAAAAACCTCTAACTAGTAATACATTAGCACAGTATGTGATGCTTTGCTGAGAAGTGGCTTGTTTCCAATCAGAATTGGCTTCTTGTTGATGTTTACTTTACTTATTTTATTTTTGTGCTTCCAGAAAAAGTATACTTGTCCCAATCGTTTGCTCGTTGATTCTGTAAGAACATAGATCAGTAGTAAAAAAAAAACCAGACACCTCTCCTCAAGATGTATCATAAAAGCCAAAATCACCAAGGTTGAAAAATGCTCGGTAAACTTCAGCTACGCTTATGAAGCCTGCAAGGAGAAAAAAACAAGTTATTTCATCTTGTTGTCCTTGAAACTATATTCCAGTATTTACCGGTGTGTATCAGGGCACTGTTACCTTGGTAAATCATGAGAAAGGAGCGTTTGGATGTTGACCAAAAAAAAAAAAGATTATTATTTGAAGGTTACACTTAGCTTTTTTCTTCTTTTTTAACTGCCTAGTAAAAAGTAAAATTCATTCAACCTTTATTTATACAGGTTAGTCTCGTTGAGTCACAAGGACTCATTTTCAAGAGAGACCTGTTTTAGACAGAGAACATATAAAAGATAATGTTACAAATACTTTCTCATCAATCATCTGTGGAAAAAAAAATGCTTTGTTTCAGTCGTAGCATATATTCAAGTCACTTTGGAGCATGTATTGATTATTGCAGGCAAACATTACAACTTTTTATCATGCTGGATGTGAGACGTGATAGATGTGTGAAACAGAGAGAGAGATGCAGGGAAGAGATATAATGATGAAAGAACCAAAATGGCCAAATAAGAAATCCTCTCTTTAAGTCAGTCACATGAGTTAGCGGAGGTGGCAAGGCGTTTATAAATGATCCCATTTGATGAAAGGCTTAGGGTACACGTGTTTCCTTGTTCTTCTGGAAGCCTCCTCTGTCCTTGCTCATTTAAAAGAAACTAATATTCTTGAGGAAGCATAGATGGGAATGGCTATATATCAAGAAGATGGGAGGAGAGAGGTCACAGGGATGTGGAAGTTGGCAACAGTGACAAGGCAAAAGCCAAAGTGCTTGGTTTTTTATTAGGTTTTTAAAAACCTCCCTATATACCTGTATATATTAAAGGTACCACTTTACAATAAGGCTCCCTTATAGATGGCTAATAAATAGTTCATAAATATGTTATTGATTCCAAGTGGGACAGAGAAGGGAAAAAATATGTTTATTTCCAAATAGTGAGCCAAATCTGCTACCTATATATTTCATCTAGAGTTGTTATATTAAACATTTCAGACTAAGTTACTACCTTGTAAGCACAATAAGCATTTGTAAACCTATTTTTTAGCATATAATATTGTACTTTATCACTGCATTATAAGTATCTACAACTAATATTATATATTTAAAAAATAGGTTTACAAATCGTATTGTGCTTACAAGGTAGTAATTTAGTATGAAATGTTTATTATAACAACTCTAGATGAAATATAGGTGAACAGATTTGGCTCACTATTTGGCAAGAAACTGATCAGATTTCTGTCTGTGTCACCCTTAATCAATGCATAATAAGCAGTCATTAATGATTTATAAAGTCTTTATAGAGGAATTAATAGCATATCTATAAACTATTTATTATCCATCTATAAAAGGAGCCTTATTGTAAAGTGGTATCAAAATAAAATGTAAAAACCAAACAAGTGTTTAGCTCCAAATATGCAATGCATGTGTCTAATGGATTTATTAGAAATAAATACAAAATTAAAAATACAAACATCAAAGTTTGTGCTCAGAATTCCAGGCGTTGTTGTTGAAACATTTCATCCTTCATCCAAACGACTTCATCAGTGTGAGGAGCTACAACTAACTCAGTCCCACTTAATTTTATTAGATCTTCTACCTGGATTATTGAGCATGAACTTTGATGTTTTGAACCACTTTGGCAATAGCTGCCTCAGAGGAGTCGACGGAGGAGAGGGCAGATTCTAGAAACCATCTTACCACCATCAAACTGGTTGGCCCACTATTGCGCTGCGTGTGGGACTGAGTTTGTTGTGGCTCCTCAGACTGAAAAAGTTCTTTGGATGAAGCAGAAAACATTTCAACAAAAAAATTAAAAAAGGAAAGAAAGAAACCGTCCAAATCACCTGACTTAACTTTGTTGGAAAAATACACATTTTAAGAAGTAATTGAAGGCTTAGCATTTCTTGAAGGAATCTTTATCACCCATCACTTTTTAGGCCAACAGTGTTATCGTCAACAGTTAATACCAAAGTGTAAGGCAGAAATGTTGCACTCAGTAATACACTAGAGGCATTGCTCAACTATAAACACACCACATGTTCACTCTATAACTGTAAAACGGAGTTAGTTATATCCATTTATGTATTGTCCAAAGTCAGTTGGCTGCATCAGTCATCTTAAATTAAAAATTTCAATATCATCTGTTTAGTGGTTTGTGACGTATTTTGCCAACAGATAAAGTTGATTCTAATAGTTATCAACAACACTATAATACAGTGTAAACCAAGGTAGAATTGAATGAATGAATCAACTATTAAACAAAGTTAAAAAAAAAAAAAAAAAGATCTTGGGCTATTGAATTTTAAGTGAATGTAAAATAAAAATAAAATAAAAAACACTGAGTTATAGCCATGATTGTGTTGAGTATAAAAATGTAAGAAATGTATTGATAAAAGTCAAACGCTGCAGCGACCACAACAATTTACACACAATGAACTAGGATTGTGATCTGCACTAGAACCAAAGAATTACCGGTACTAAGAGAACTGGGTATGTAGGTATGCTGGAAGGGGTGATTTCTGAACGAAGAACAGGTGTGTAATGATGGAATGCAGGTGTGGGTAAAACTAGGGCTGATGAGGGAAATAATGGCTGAAAACTCTGAAAGCAACATGACACAGAGCCAAAATAAAAATGTAACAGAAAACACTCAAATACAATTAAATTAACAAGATATTAATACTAGATACAAAAAAATTGATTCTGATAAAGCAAAGGAAATATGATCACATCACCCCAATCCTTAAATCCCTCCACTGGTTTCCCATTTCACTCCGCACTGAATACAAGTTTTTCTTACTCAACCACCAATTACAGCAATGCTCCACGCTGTCTTAAAGGACTGCTCAGACATCAACACGGTCTCTTCGCTGCACAAACTCCTATCAGCTCCACCCTCCCCAGACAAAAAACAGTGCACCATGGGTGACAGGGCCGTTTGCTCTGCTGCTCCCCATCTGTGGAGCACCCTCCCCGACCATCTAAGAATACCCCAGACTACAGAAATGTTAAAGAAAGGACTGAAAACCTTTTTATTTGAAGGATTTTATAGTGTTTAAAGGTATTTTTAATCCTGCAGTTTTTTAGTTATTTTTTTTTAGCCCATGTTTTATTCTCTAGATGTTTTATATTGTAGAACTTAGATATTATAAAATGGAAAGTGCAGTACAAATTGATTAAAATATAATTATTATTATAAAACTACCCCCAAACCCACAATCAGGACACATCCTGGCTATTTATTCTAATTACATTAATATGTTTATTTGAGATCCTGATACTACTAGATCTTTTGAATTTCCATCTGGATATAATAAAGTATCTATATGCCTGTCTATAGATTTTGTATCATCTGTAGTATATATATATATATATATATATATATATAT